GCTTAAGTGTATTGAAGAATGAGAATTCGACTCAAAATGCGTTAAATAATGGAAGTTTAGACTTATGACCACACCCGTTTGCACTCCACCTCCAGGCACAATTGCGTGAAAATAACCGACAAAGCGATAAGCAATGACCAAATCACTGCAGATTTCCATTAGAATAGACCTCCAAGTTTGCAAGTTCCTTAAATCCCCGAAATTATGGCTTCCCAAAGAACGAAGGAACCCTCTAAGTTGAGCAAACACCGATAACGACCACGTGCAACACTTCCTAAAAACCCCAGATAACAATATACGTTTTTTTCATGTGAAAGTCCATTTTGAGGTGAATAGTAGCTCGCAATCACAAAAACCCTGTGGGCCTAAAAAAAACAGAGGATAAACTCCAGCAGACAAACAATAAGCCCAGATCTGGGGAGCATTTGGAAGATTAAGACCGGCCCGCCCTTTTGGGGAAATAAATTAGGGCCTTAAAGGCAGTGCGTGCAGGCGTTCGGGGAGGTATAAGCTATAAAATGAGGCTACCAAAAACGCCTGATGCTAGTTTTCCTGCAAATTTGACAAAGTTTTCGTAATTAGAAAATATTTCATTTTAAAGTTTTCTTCGAATCAATTTTCCTTTTTCGGTGCTTTGCACGCTTCGTTGTCAGCTAGTTCCAAAAACCGCTGTGGCTCACTTTCGCTAAAATGAAAACCCTTCTTAACTTTGGGACGGACGTTATCGCGACAAGACAAAAACGTTTCCGTCCTGGTTCGTCAAATTAATTCAATTAACGCTCCAGTGGTGTTCCGGCCTATTAACGCCGCCACGGAACATCGATTTTTTTATCTTTGGGCTACTGTTTTGATCGAGCCAACTTTTTTCCAACGGATAGAGAGTTTTCCGTTGCCAGAGCACATTAGCCAACATCGACATGAAGTATACCCTTCCAACGACGTCCCATTTTTCACGTTTTACACGCCAGGCAAGGCACATCAGTCATTTACCACAGCATGTGCAACTTATCATATCAGTGGCCCTTTCTGTCCCTTTTCATAGATATATTGGATTTACGCCAAAAAATCGATGCCCAAATTGCGGTGGCATCAAATTCACGTACTCAACAGTAGAATGAAAATTTGCAAAACTTCTATCACAGTAATAAGAGGTGAGGAAATTCTTATTTTTCCAAATTGGAAGCGAAATATCTCACAAATAATTTATCAAAGAACGGCAATGAAATTCATCAAGCTGAAACAAGAGGATAAAATACAGCAAAAGATCCAATAACCATAAAAAGTATTAATAATCCGATGCAAAAAACGCGCATTTTTCAAAAGGAGTCTTTGTGAAATGTAATTACGCAACTTTTTCTACATGCAGTAAAGTAGACTTAGCAACTTTGCTATGCGAAAATGAAAAATTAACTCGGTTCTAAACCTAGTTGAGCGAGCATTTGGGAGATCTGAGAGCATCTGAGTATTACCGACCGATCCATAGAGGAAAGTTGCTCTTTCATATATGGTGCAGTTTGCAACTCATCAAACGTTTTATTGCTCGGGTCTTTTCTTTGTATTTTTCTAAACAATTTACGAATTTTTTCTGTCGTTTCAAGTTGCATTTACATATATTTGCTTAAAAAGAACATTAAGATTGGGCACCACGAGGGCGCAGACCTTTTGAAAGAATTTGTGCTGTTTAATGTTGGACAAATTTTCACGCAACTTCACAAATTCTGGAAACTCTCAAATCCAACAGAAAAAACACCACTGGAATGGAAACAGTTGGAAGGAAATGTGTGGAAAGTCAAAGTCCAGGAAAAGAAAGGAAGTCAAGGAAAAGAAAATCTCATGTTCAAGTAAAAGTTTTAGTTTGTTTGTGCCACACAAGTACAAAATATCAAGGAAGACGATTTTCATTTCAAGTTTACTTTGTCAATGGAGCCCCTTAAACAGACGATTGCTTCCACAATGTTGTATTCGAATGAAGCGCACTTTATGAGAGATAAAATTGACAATTGTCACAATAAAGATGGTCATTTACATTTGATAAAAAATCATATAGAAGAAAAACTAGATAAAGTTCCTTTGGATATTCCACACGCAGGTGGCACATTTCGGCCATCAGTTTTTTGGCAGAAGCGCCCAGCACCATTGACCATCCAGATGACCGGATCTCAGTCCCTTAGATTTTTGTCTTTAAAGAGTGGGGGGGGCACCAGAAATGCGTTGTTGCAGTTCAGAATTTCAATTAAAAATCATCAACAGTTGTTTCCTTGGCAAAACATTTTATATGCAAATATTGGCATCCGGGCATGGTTGGGTTTGCACGCAGATCGGTGTCCCGGGACAACGGGCGTCCCGGCGTTATGCGTCTCCCGGACGACGACGCCGACGCCCGACACGCCTAACAGGACCTCGCCCGCCAAACTGCGTCGAACTGGATGGGAAAAGACGCAAACACGCCTGATTTCCCGTTGGAAATTGCGTTTTTCTCTCGTCTGTAAATGTGTGTTTTCAACACCAGACAATCCGCGACTTTTGATAGAAGACGACACTCGAACGTTGCTTAAGAATTATCTTATTTACATCGTCGAAATTTGTAGAATTTGGAGAACTGCGGGAAAATTAGCTGATAATGTTATCAGGAATTAAGAATCAAAAACTCCACCGATGTGTTGCCAGTATGCAGAAAAAACGCCTGATTCTTCAAATGTTTTGCATATCTTGTACTTATATTGAAGAGTCTTAGGACGTAAACAATCCAACGAGCGTACAAAACAGGCTGGTGAATTTTGGATTTTCCTAGAAGATCGATTTTTGCCAAAAAAGCCTCTCAAAATGATTCGAATTTTTCATAATTTTCATCGGTTAATGCAACGAGCTCCTTACAAAACACGCTGGAATCTGCTAAAATATGCTATAAATAGCATTCTAGCGCCTACAGGCCTTCTTGCTTATTTCCTTTAGAAAAATTTACCAACATTCGCAAATAAATGCATAAACCCGAAACAGAGACAATGAAAATGAGATTACGATCTAAATCTGGTAAGTCAAACATACACGACCGAAACCCTAAAATTTCAAGAGTTTGCTGATTAAATAAAAAACTGCTTGCACGAAAACAATCCAGAAAGTAACTGGGCTTCGGCAAATACTATTAAGTAGAGCGCCGTTCTTAAAAGGAACAGAAAACTAGGCGGAAAGTAGAAAATTGGAGCTTAAAAGCTTCCTTATCTTTATTCCGGTTGATAGACCTTCGAAATTAAAAAACGGTGCAGAGAGATGAACCAGAATGGGTCAAAACGGTGCGATTTTCTCGTGCACGCTTGCCAGAGCTGTTCAACATCGCTGATATCGAAGAAAGCAATTAATCTGCAGTGTTCCATTCATATCCAGAAGGATGAAGTGAGCGCGGCCATTGATTTGTCTGTCGCTTGGCCTGAAATATCGCTTAACTCGACCATTTATCACCACCGAGAAGACAGAAAAATGACCAGTCTGATAATCTGGAAATGTGTACCATAACTCTCCTCTGTATAAATGGATCCATAAAACGAACCCATGATACTGTAAGAACTTTCCACAATCGAAGACGATTTTGGGGGGGTTGCAACCATCACAACCACAAGGGCATTTATGAATCTCTTAACCAAAATTTGGCGTTGCCAATTAATTAATTTAGGCGGTGTTTATGCGAAGAAAACCTTGAAATGTATGGATTTTTGCGATAACTAAACTAGTCCTTCTAGATCGACGCGAGGGGCTTTAGAAGGTGTGAGACGAAAAGCAACTGTCGTGCTCCGAAAGTTGTGTAGTGAACGTCTTGCATCAATCATTTTAATTTTCAATTTCATCCATCAAAATGATTTGATATTCCACCGGAACGGCTCTCGTGCCCAGCATAAAACTCAATTTATCTGCGATGAGATCGTTTTTGGGGCCCTGACGGACGAGAAAGGTTTGCCGTAGGTCGTGCTGCAAGACGAAATTGCTCGAATTTAATCCTGCGGAGGCCCAACGTTGCCGGCTTATATTTGCCAAACAAAAAACAAAAATCCCAACCGATTAGTCGTCATTATTTGCGAATTTGGCGCAGAATCGATCGCCTAAACTGGCGTGTTTGAGCACCATAAAAAATCGGAAAATTGCCACAGGCGTCCTCTGTGATTTCTAATTTACCCCGCTGCCATTGGATGGAAATGCGCAGTTTTACTCGATTTTCCAAGGCTTATGTCTGCGACTCATGCGAACGATTTTTGTGGATCTTACTAAATTTCCATTAACTTTTCCGGCCGTCGAACACTCACAGCCAACATTTCGTTAAACATTGCACACTTTGAAAAATTTCCCTTATAACGACAACCCAACAAGGTCTTAGGTGTAGAAGACTTCTAGGCATGCAAGCTTTGCTTTAAAAACGAAGGGGCTTTGAAGTTTTTAAGACTTGTTTGCATTAATCATCCGAAGCGTTTCAGCCGATTTTGTCTATGTAGTTCAAGGGATAAAATAGCCCTTGAATATTAGTTATGCTTTAAGCTAATATTAAATAATCCTGAATTACACACTGTATTTCAAGGAAATTCTTCGAAAAAAAATAATTTCAACTCCCTGTGTACCGAACTCGATTCAAGCAAAAAACTACTCAGGCTGCAACCGTTAGCTCGTCGCCTTGGATAATCTTCACCGCAGATGTGAACGAAACGTCGCGATTTAAATACTCCGAAAACATCAATCAGGAGCAAAAGTGCATAGAATGAACTATTCCAACTTACCGGGTGCCGCCCACGTTGGATCCCTCCAAACTCCGTCATGATTCAGATGGTTGAGGGCCAAAGATTTGCCATCCTTTGCCTCTAATCCCCAAAGCTTTTTCGCTGAAGGAGCAATCTGAAAAAGAATCGACACTTAGACACTTTAAAGTGACTTATTTGCGACAAAACCGAACAAATTACAATTCTAGGCCAAAGCAACAGATGGAAACATTGCAAAAGTCACAAAGTTAAACCTGTTTTTAAAGTCTCTGAAGAAGATCGCAGGATTACAACTCAACAAATACCTACAAACTATCGTCCATCTAAGACAGACACAACATTCAATATAATCTAAAAACAGAACAATCGATAAGTAATCATTCCCTAAGTGCTATTGTTCTCTGTATAGCGTGTTGTGCTGAGAGCAGCGATCTGCAAAGTCAGCTAGTTTCGGAACGTCAACAACGCTTGAAAACCAGTCAATTATCGAGGCTGAAAGTGGTTTGGTGCATACAGGCAAGTTCGGCTTTAACTGCTGCGATTCACATCAAAACGACCTCCAACAACTCAATTCGTTTAGCATTCGACAGGCAAACGTTGAGTTAAAAAAGCAGCCCGCGCCTCCTTTAGTCTCTCGGGGAGTGAAACAATACGCTATTTGAATTCCAAATAGTGAAGAGAGCCTGTCTGTCCATAGACAGTTTCTGCGAACTTGGGGAAAAGTTTCCGCGATGGCTTTATTAACACTTCTGGCCCACTGAGCGCAGGTTTTGCCTCTTTCGTCATGAACCTATTTGATTTTTTCCGTAATTTTCGGATGAAACTCGAGACGAACATTCAAAAAGGAAATTGGTCTACCTAGTTTTCGAACTTTCTCAATTATCCGTAACTGTTTCGGGAAATTGCAAACCAGCGCGGTTTGCGACATTGTTTCCGCAATGGTTGCCAGTTACGTGCATACTTTTAGCGCAGTTTCAATATTCGCAAATGTTTCATTTGCAACTGCCAACAAACGGCCAACAATAAAGCCAACATCACATTAAGATAAGATAGTAGTAATCGGTAACAGTGATAATGACGGAAACCCAAAATACCAAAGTTCTGCATAAAAAATCGACTCATTCACTATGCAATTAATCCCTCTCAGAACCACCTGCGGATTAAAGCATTATTGCTGTTCCGGAAACAATTGCGAAAGCAAACAATAACATCAATCCATGATTTAATACTCAATTTGCTTCTCAAATATTTTCCTTGGCGATTCGCGAAAACTGAGTAATCAATTTTTCCAACTTCCAACGAGATCTGCATTATTAAACGCAAACAAAACATTTTTATTGAACGCAAAATTTACTTTCGACTCTATTAAGTCGTCGCGTGATCTCTTATTTAGTGAAATTAATTTGTCCGTTATATTCATTGTGAAACGTGAAATAGGGAAAAATAAATAGCTAGCCGATGTTGTACTGATTAAAACCACAGTTTACAGTGTAAAGTTTCGTTTACTGTGCTGGTGCATAAAACGCTAAAAGTGTTTGAAGTGGCCCAAAGCGACACGAAATTTTAATAAACTTCCCCAATTGAGGCTTGAGTGCACCAAGAAAATTATTTCTCCAGAAAATCCAGGAATATTTTCAGCTAAAAATTGCTTCGTCCTTTTAGCAAGACGAAGTCTAAGTCTACTCCAGTAAATGATGTTTCAGTTCATTTCAGCAGCATAGGTTTATTAGAGAGAATCGTTGAGAATGACTCGTAGCCTAATATTAAGAACACATTGGATTTTTTGGTTCAGAAAATCTTGATAAATTTGCAAGAAGATATTAATTTGATTAAGACCAATTGCAATGGGATTTAGGCGCAATTTTAGGTGTGGAACCATGAAATCGTAACGCTTATGAAATATTTGCGCCGCACTGCGTCAGCCCCAGTGTTGGCTACATTTGTGATTCAAATTGAATATTCTGATCAATTCTTGATGATTTTTTAATTGATAAAAACAGCAAAGATCTCAGAGTTCACGAAAACCTGCAAATCTCATCGTTATTTTCGGTAGTGGTTGAGGATACGACACTGAAAATGTGTGAAAGTTAGAGTCTATCTAACAATTCGACAAAGTGTCCGATTTTGTGAAAAGCAATCTTATTCGTGGTTTATTAGGTCCTTCCTCTGTTAGGGACAAGATGTCCTTTCTCTCAGTCCAAAAAAGACTGGATTACAAACAAATAAATAGTGCAACGAATGGTCGAAACCTATTTGTAAAGAGCACAGTGGACAAACAATAGTTCCGTTTGCACATGGAGTGTTACCAGCAACCTCTGCCAAGCTATTGCGTATAATTGCCCTCCCAGAAGGTCTAGTCATAAAATTTACCTGGCATTGTCCATGGACTTTACAATTCACACATGTTAGAGCCCCAATAAAGCCCTTCAGCCTTGTGCCTGATAACTTTAAAATAGTTTTATCCAAGTAGTAGTTATAACAATGCGAACTGCTGACGGAAGAAATCTTTGTTTTCCGCTTCGTTATAATTATAGCATGCTTATCAAAGGAGCAAAGGACACATTCCTAGAACCTAGACAACATGATTCCACTTAAACAAAGACCTGATTTTCGTCTGGTTCCGAGAATCTTCAAGCTGCATAGTTAAGCATTTTTAAGGCCCCTACATTTGCAAATTTCAGAAAGTTTTCCACTCCTCTACACTGCTAAATTTAGCTAATAATACGCGTAAGAATACTAACCATTATTGTGTGTTCAATGTGGAGATTGCTGGTGCGTACACAGAGTTATCACTAAACTGAAAGCACTAGATACAGGCTAAAATTACATTATTTACAACCGATGATATGCCGTCGACCACCGCAAGAACTACCCGAAGACTGACGACAACTTTCCCAAGAAAGAACACTCATCAAAAGAAGAAAAAGATCCAAGGGTTTCAGGTCTGGAAGGCCAGCTGGCCTGGTGGCTAATGGCCACGTTGCCGCATTTCCATTTTGAACATAGAAATCATTTGAAAAATGCCAAATTCGACAATTGGAAAACTGGTCTTTCTTAAGCATTTGCTTAATGCTCAATCTAATTGCTTCCAAAGCAATGGCAAGAATTTCTCGATTTTATTATGGAACTTTATCGGTATATTTACGCAAATCACTTAGTTGTTCTAACGACAAAGCGTACATAGAGGCAATGCATAAGGAAAACTGCTAGAATACCTGAAAATTGGCAATGGCGCTTAGTGAAGAATAAAAATAAAAGGTTCAGCAAAGTCCTCAACAGGTACAAGACGAATACATTTGTCAAACCAGAGGCGTACTTCACCCACCGTTAGGGTCTGTAAAGAATTTTTGGCCGTTTAACTCATTTAGTTCAAATCGATACATTTGGGATCTTCACCGTATTCAGATTCAAATTAATATAACTGAATACATATATGAATGCTTGGTCAATTTTTTCTGATTCCTTGGCAAATAATACGGTTATTTTAAAGGCAGACGTGCTTTAAGGTCATGTCCTCCTTTTCGCATCGACCCACAAAGATACGATCAACTCTAACCTTCACAGCGTCATTGCTGTTGTTTAATGCACTCTTATCCTTGGAAATTCGTGCGTCAGCAAATTGTATATATGTATATTAATTTTCACATTTTGAATCCCAATTCTTTTGTCAACGGATTTCAGTTTAGCAGTGTATTTTTGTATAGCAGCTGAATCAAAAAATGCCAATCCTTATCACAATGAATTAGAAAAATCAGCTAAAGCGCAAAATTTGCCATTCGGTTACTCGGTAATTTCCGAGATGGAATGGCGTCTGTACTGCAGCATTTTTCCTTTTCGCCATCGTGTTTCCCATCAAAATCCATAATTCAGCAGCGCCAATGATTTCCACAAACATGCACACATTGGCAGAGATCGGGATCGGAAATTTTTTATTAAAAAATCCTTCGCTCGGATGAATGAGACTCTAGATATTGGTGTAATTTATCTGGGAAATCAGCTTCAGACGTTTCACACAAAACTGGATAGAGTGAAAGATGATAGAGGAAAATTCGAGGTTCTAAACTTTAATTAAAGGTGAAAACTGCCACTGAGAATTTAGATTAGTTGGGGACTGGGTAAAAATATGCATCTTCATCAAGCCCAATCAAACGTCGATTGGTGTCATATAATACATCGAATAATAACAAATTTATAGTAGGAAATCGTATGATGAAGGTCGGTTGCCGTCAGTCATGTTGCAGAAAAACAACGAAGCATCGCGTATTCAATTGTTAGCGTCGCGACTAATGCGAAAAGTGGGCGGACAGAACCGACGATGGTTCAATCAAACGATTCATATAGATTGGTTAAAGTAGCTTGATAAATTATATCATTGAAATCTATTTTAAATTTTACGCTGTTATCAGCTTTAAATTGGGCTCGTCAATGTCTTCGCACCCTCAGTGGGAACAACATTAACATGCAAAAGCGTGTACAAGTGTAAAAAACTGCCGAGTGTTTGAACCCAAATTTCAAAAGTCGAAGGATTATTATTTTTTAAATGACTTCAACGGTATCAGGACTCATGGTTCATGGTGCAACCGTTCTCTAATGGAAATAGTTTGTTAGTTTTTTTTTTAAATAATGCCCCAAGTTCTAAACTTTTCGAACCCTTGACAGACGGAATTACAAATATGTTCGTCGCTCTAGTGAAAACAATTCATTTAAATAGGTCTAGACCAAAAAGCACCCTCTTATAGGGGGTAATCAACCCGTGCGACGCAGTCTAAAACGCCCACAGTCCTTTCTTTCCTGCCAAAGTTGCTGTTGCGGCAGATTCTGCGGGTATTTGTCCTGCAGCAGCCGCACAATCCGGCTGGGGAGGTCTTTTTGGCTAGGTGAATTACCAATTCGCGTTGGAGTTCAATAAACCGAACCGTTTATAAAACCCTGTGGTCCAAATCCGAAATTCAATATCCGGGACCCTTTAAATAAAGCAATTGAAACTGACCTCAAAAGAACTAATTTACGAAGCTATTAACACGACCTCAGCAAGTTCGTCGACAACTTGGCACCGCTTAGCAAAAAAGCGAAAACTGCCCGAAAGAGACAACAGAGTAGGAAGAAATTAAGCGATTTTTCATAAAAGTACGTCGTTGCGAGCGAAAGATGCTGTTTGCGTTCCAGGCTGCTCGTAATTTTCACATTATTAAATTTCGACAACAGCAAGTTGTTGGGCAAATGATGGTTTCATTTGATCATAAGATCCGAAGCATGAGGACCGAAATACAAGTTTTATATATATATATATATAATGCTAGTAAAATCAAGAACAAAGAGTTTGCTTGTTCTAAAAGTTGGGAAGAGCGTTTCAAGAAGAGGCATAATATCAGTAGCGGAAAAATTGTTGGAAAGCCTGCCGGTGAAAAAATCTTCTTATGAAAACGTTAGAGGCGATCGATAAAAATGAAACATTTTCTATAAATCTCTTAGATGCAGTCAATTTCATTCATAGAGCTTGGCAAA